CCAAGGTCAAAGGGTCGGCAGGGCCCTGCCCTCTCTGAAGGTGCCAGGGAAAAATCTATTCCAGGCGTCTCTTAGTTTCTGGTAGTTTCTTGGCCTGTGGCAGCATAACCCGTATTCCCATGGCATCCTCCCTCTGTATGTCTGTGTCAAAATTTCTCCCTCTTATAAGGACACCAGTCATACTGGATTAGGGACCCACCATGCTCTAGTGTGACCTCAACCAAACTCATTACATATGCCAAGACCCTATTTCCAAATAAGGGCACATTCTGAGGTTCTGGGGGTTAGGGCTTCCACATGTGAATTTTGGAAGAATGCACTTTAACCCATGACACACATGCAGTGTGTACACAACCCTCATAGAGATATCCCCATATGCAACAGGACAAAGACAACACAGATTATCATGAAGAAACAAATATACACAAATGGACAAATGAACCAAACAAAGAGGGGCAGGCAGATGCACCCATGGACACAGACACAGTTGCCCACATAAAACAGCAGGCAGACAGCTCTAGACACACGGATACAGCAATACCAACCCGCTTCCCCCCACACACACACACACACTGCCAAAGGCCAACAGACCCCAGACTTAAGCACTCGCTCCCCTCCGCTGGCAAACCCATCAAAAACAGACTGAAAATGAATAGGGACACATACACACAGATGCAATAATACTGACACCCTTCTTCAACAGGCAATTGCATCCACATACATACACGTCTGCGCACATGTAAAGCTGCTTATGTAGACATGGGGCAAGAGGAAGAAACACAGAGTTGGAAAAGCCCAGAGGGATGAGACTTCCTGGAAGTGAAGGTTGGATCGGGTCTTTGAGTCTTTGAGGACTAAGTTCATGTTTATATTGTTCAGAAGGCAGAGAAATATATTATAGGTGGAGGGGGATCTACCCAGAGCCTTTTTTAAAAAAACTTTATTGGGGAACAATGTGTTTTTCCAGGACCCATCAGCTCCAAGTCAAGTTCTTGTCCTTCAGTCTTAGTTGTGGAGGGCGCAGCTCAGCTCCAAGTTCAGTTGCTGTTTTCAATCTAGTTGCTGGGGTGGGCACAGCCCACCATCCCATATGGGAGTTGAACCGGCAACTTTGTTGTTAAGGGCACGCACTCTAACCAACTGAGCCATCCAGCCACCCACCGGCAGCTCAGTGGCAGCTCAGCTCAAGTCTTTAACCCAGAGCCTTTTGCTGATCTGAAGTCTTTTCGCACTTTTTTAATCACTTCCAGAGGCCTCCGTGTGGGCTGTTGAATCAGTACCCTGTATCTTCTGGGAGAGACATGTTTAATCCAAAGGAATGACCCTCTAGTGGTGAAATTTCAATGAAGTCAAGAATGGGACAGATTTTCTTTTTAAAACCAGTTTATTGAGGTACAACTAACATANCATCCATCCATCTATCCATTCTTTCAAAAGCATTCTTTATTCTTTTGTGTGCCAGGAACTATTCTAGGCTCTTGGCACTCAGTGGTAAATAAGACACAAAAATCCCTGCCTTGTGGGAGCTCACTTTGTAGTATGTGTAGGGGGAGGCAGACAAGTTCATAAGTAATAACATATACAATCAATTAGATGGCAATAAGTACTATGGAGAAACTAAAGCAGGAAAAAGGGCTATAGAGTATTGGGGTGGGTGGGGCTTGCAGCTTTAAGATGGTTAAGAAGTCCTTACTGATAAGGTGACGTGTGAGTAGAGAACTGTAGGAGGTAGGGGAGGTCAGCCATGTGTCTTTTTGAGGGCTGTACTTTCTGGGGTAGAAGGTATGGCAGGTGCAAAGGTCCTGAGGTGGGAGGGAACCTGCCTGAGGTGTTAAGGAACAGTGAGAGGAACAGTGTAGAGGTTGTCCTGACAACTTTATCTTTTCCCAGGTTGGCTGGTTCCCATCCAACTATGTGGAGGAGGATTATTCCGAATACTGCTGAGCTCTGGCACATTGACAGAGAGACGAGGAACTGCAGGCTGTGAGCCCAGAATGAGCAGGCTGCAGGGCCAGGGGCTGTGACAGGTCCCAGAGCGCTGAGAATCTGAGATGGACTGTGGAGGGCCAGCGTCCAGCTGGCAGGGCTCCTGGGGTGATGCCTTGCCATGGTTAATTTATAACACACTGATTTTCTCTTGGGTCCCCTTGGGAAGGCAGGGCTCAAGGCAACTGCTTTTAATAAAATGATAAATGGAGGGCCCGGTGTCATTCAGAAGGACCTGGAAGGGGAAAGATGGGAAGGGGTGCTGGGGCGCAAACCAACACCTACCCACCAACACCTGCCTTCCAGCTTTATCACTTTTCTCTGCCGTGTTTTTTCATAAATGTTGGGTGTAATGACTCTAAGTTCTGGATTTTCTGGGATAGCTCTGGCTTGCCCCAGTGTGGTTATTAATCACAGTCCTTTTCATTCTTCAAAGTGTTCTGGTTGGGGTGATAAGCTACATGGTCACTGTTTTAGGCTGGGCTTTTCCAGAGGCTGAGCCTGAGACAAGGATTTGGGTGGGGTGCAGGGTCAAGTTTACCTGGGAGGTAATCATAGGAAGCAGCCAGAAGGGGGTGAAGGGAGATGAGAAAGTGAAGGAACCAACACCAGGAGCACTGATGAGCAGGTGACAGCTGTGGGCAATGGGGGCTCACTCTTGTTGGGGACTCCGGAAGTCAGTGTAGAACATGCCTGGGAGTTGAGGGGCAAGGGAGCTGGGGTATTTATTCCTCAGCTTCCATCAGTGATTGCTTGGGAGCTGCTTGTAGGTGGCTGTGCCTGCTCAGGTGGCTAGAGAACCGCAGATGTTTGAGGAGCCATTGACCTATATGGATGTCGTCAGGGTCTGCAACACTCTCCCTAAGAACAGAAACCGCGTGCACGCCCCTTTGCAGTCTTCTCTACTCAGTGGATGCCACCACATGCAAGGTGCGGGGAAACTATAGAGCTTGCTACAGCCTGGGATTTGGGGGCTCCAGGGAACATTACTTCACATCACCCTGAAGCTATCTAGACACGGGGGTGGGCTGGTAGGATACAAGGATGCACCTATCTATGAGTTTAACGTTCTCCTTTCCCA